TAATGATATCAAGTATATATAAAATTTGACACAAAATTTCTTTTCAAAAGCACTTCACATTAATACCCAGATGTTAACATATTTTAACCTAACATGCATGAACGGAAAGCAATGTACATTTCTGATTACAAATTGAAAACTACTTTAATTGCTGTTTAAATATGTTTATTTACAAATTCCTCCGTCTTACTGGATACATCTGAGATTAAGATGTAAAGACATATATATGGTCAAACTTCTCCATTTTATGGCACATTATAAGGTACAAGAGGAAGATAACAAAGCTATATTTAATTATACACAAAATTAATGATATTCAGTATGAAAAAATATATATTTAAAATTTGACCCAAAATTTCTTTTCAAATGTACTTCACATTAATACCCAGATGTTAAGGTAATTTAACCTAAGATATACAATGTATAGCACATATTCATTATTACATGCTTCTAATCACTAATCATTGACTTTCTCAGACAAAAAATTACACTAGGTGCAATACACGTGTTGCTTGTACACTGATCTGCATGGAGACGACACAAGAGGTCTAGCGGAAGACCTATCCAGTGACACTGTACATATTAACTGTACAGAACCGCTAAGATTTACATTTCTAAATGTATGTGGTATCAAATCAAAATTTAACTTACCTGAATTTATAGATATGATTAAATCGTATGATATATTATTTTTTGTTGAAAGCAAACTTGACGACCTTGATATAATACAGTTACCACATGGATATTCATATTTCTGCAAAAACAGAGCAAAAGAAGTGAAAAGGAAATCAGGTGGTGTAATTATAATATACAATGACGAATTAAAACCCATGTTACAATTTAACAACACTCCATCTGACTTTGTCCTATGGCTGAAATTATCAAAAAATATAACAAATCAGGATTGTGATGTGTTATTTGGTTGCATATACATTCCTCCGGAAAATTCAAAATATTCGTCGGTTGATTGTTTTGAAGAAATCGAGAATGAGTTGAATGAAATATCTGTAAATAATAGTAATCTTGTGCTTGTAGGCGATTTTAATGCCAAAACCCAATGTAAAGATGACTTTGTTCAACTTGATGCTACACTTATTGAAGTTTTAGACGTAAATATGAATGATGAGCTTTATAAGTACTTTTTTGATGTGCAAAAATTGACCGAATTGAACGTACCGTTAAAACGGACTAGCCGATGTCAATCAAGACCTAATAATTTCGGTTATAAATTGCTTGATTTTTGTAAAGAAAACAATGTTTACATCGCCAATGGACGTATTGGTAAAGATAAACTAATTGGAAAAACAACATGTAACGATACTAGTGTTATTGACTATCTCTTGTTGTCATTAGATCTGTTTCAATTTATTGATAATTTTGAAATCGATGATTTTGATCCTTTATTTTCGGATGTGCATTGTAGATTAGAATTTCAAATGAACAATATGGAAATTCGTTATAAGATCCAAGATAAGTGTCACTATTCCTTGACAAATGACTTTATTAAATGGAAGACCGACAAGAAAACTAATTTTGTACATTATATAGAAGAAGATGACAATGGTATGCTGAAAGAAATTGTTGAAAAAACAGATGTTTTATCTCAAAAGCCGTGCAACCTAGTAGATGTTGTTGAAATAAATGATATAGTACGTTCTAAAGTAATATGTTCAAAACTTCGGCAAAGTGTGTATTTGGTGAAAAGAAAACGTATAATAAAGCAAACAAAAGAAGAAACGTCAATAAACCTTGGTTTACACGTGAGTTCCATAGTAAAAGATTAGACTTTCATAAAGCTAAACGTCAGTATAACGTCGATAGAACTCCCGCAAATAAAATTAATCTTAAAAATACAGGTACAGAGTACAGGAAAACTTTAAACAAATCATATAGAATTCATCAAGAGAAAATGGAAACGGAACTAAGAAAAGTTTCGAACCTAGAGCCGAAAACCTTTTGGCATATTTTAAATGAAATTGATGGCCCCTGTAAGGAACAGAAGCTTGACAAAAATATTAATGAATTATATACCTACTTTAAAGAGTTGAATAAGGGAGATAACTCTGACGAGATGTTTGACGATGTGGTTATAGATGGGGATGGTAGATTTGATCATTTGTTGAATGGAAATATTACTGAATTTGAAATTAGAGAATCCATTTTATGTTTGAAGTGTAATAAAGCTTCAGGTTTTGACGGAATTCTGAATGAATATTTAAAATCTACTGTTGAACTGTTTAAACCTTTGTACTGTAAGTTGTTTAATATTATATTTAATACCGGTTGTATACCCGACTCTTGGAAGATAGGGGTTATTAAACCCATTTATAAACGTAAAGGAGATCCATCTGACTTAGACAATTACAGAGCTATAAGTCTTGTTTCATGTCTAGGAAAAGTTTTTACATCAATATGCAATAGCAGACTAAACAAGTTGGCTGATAAAATTAATCTAATTACCTACTCCCAGGCTGGCTTCAGGAAAAATCATTCCACCACTGACAACATTTTTATTCTACATGCATTACCTTCTATTTATTTTTCTCTGGGAAAGAAATTATTCTGTTCATTCATAGATTTCAGAAAAGCTTTTGATTCAGTTTGGAGACTTGGTCTATGGAGAAAAGTTCAAAAGAGTAATATAACCGGGAAGATGTTCAGAGTAATATTTAACTTGTATGAAAATACCAAATCTTGTGTCAAAAATGGAAATGAATTGTCTGAAATGTTCAATTGTGATATCGGGGTAAAACAAGGGGAAAATTTATCACCATATCTCAATTTATCTTAATGATCTGGAAGATTTTCTTGCAGAAAATAATGTTAATTGTCTTCAAACAATAGAAACTTTGGGTGAAAACATTGAAATGTACTTAAAATTGTTTATTCTTCTGTATGCAGACGACACTATTATTATGTCTGAAACAGCCGAAGGACTTCAATCTGCTCTTAACACTTTTAATGTATATTGTAATACCTGGAAGCTTAATGTTAATACTAACAAAACCAAAATTGTTATATTTGCAAAGAGAAAAGGTCGTACAGCCTTCCACTTTACATTGTGTAATGAAGAAATTGAAATTCTTGATGAATTTCCTTATTTGGGTGTTTTAATTAATTACAACGGAAGTTACTTTAAAGCTAAATGTAAATTAATGGAACAGTCTAAAAAGGCAATGTTTGCTGTTTATAAGAAAATAAGAAATATTCTGCTTCCAGTAGACCTTCAGTTGAAGATTTTTGACTCACTTGTGTTGCCTATACTTTTGTATTCAGTAGAAGTTTGGGGTTTTGAAAATTTAAGTGTCATTGAAAAACTTCATTTACAATTCTGCAAACGTATTTTAGGTATTAGAAGAAGTACACCAAATTTTGTGATTTATGGTGAATTGGGGAGATTCCCTTTACTTATTGAAGCTAAAAGTAGAGTTATTATGTTTTGGTATAAATTAATTACCTGTAATAACTTGTCAAGTATCATGTATAACTTAATGTACAATCTACATATTAATGGCAATATGGATTTCAAGTGGTTGAAAAATGTTCAAAATATTTTTATAGAAACTGGTTTAAACTTTATCTGGGACTTCCAGAAAATATGTTCATTTAATAGAAATTATTTAAAACTTGTCATTAAGCAAAGACTACAAGACCAGTTCATACAAAAATGGTTCAGTGATGTAATTAATTCCTCTCGAGGAAATACCTATTGTATAATGATAAGTAATTTTGAATTAGAAAAATATCATTTGAGACTTAAACCTAGAGAAAGACAAATTATCGTTAAATTTAGAACTTCAAATATGCGTTTACCTATAGAAACAGGAAGATGGATCGGAATACTGAAGGAGAACAGAGTTTGTAATCTTTGCTCAAATGAAATTGGCGATGAATACCACTATCTTTTTAGATGCGATCATGAATCAGTGAAGAGAATAAGAGATCAATTTATTCCACATTACTATTCTACTTATCCTAGTATTACAAAAATGCATGGACTTTTTTCTGTATGTAATGTTAAAGTTTTATCAAATATCAGTAAATTTCTAGAAAAGCTTGATAATCTATTGAATCTACGTAGCTAAAATATCATTATGTATGTAACTGTGTACCGCCATGCCATGAATGTTTTTGTTGTAACCTGACCTCTTGTAACATACTTTGTATGTCTGAGAGTACCAATACAATCTGTAAAATCGGAGTCTATCCATACAATAAGCCAAGGGGCATTAACTCAAAGTCAGTATGTGGCTTTATTACAAAGAAATACCATTGTAAATCTACTAAACAGTAACTTATTAAGATGGGCTTATTACCAGACATTAGCATATTGCCAGATAAATACAGTTTATCATATCCAACGATGAACAAGAGATCCTACAATGATCTTGGTGCCCACCATGGTTTGATCTTTATTTGTTCTTTAAAAGTTGGATCTTTTCCAGTCTTTTCTCGAGAACAATCCTCTGAAGAAACAGCAATAATCTTTCATTGTCAAATTCAATATGGCTGCCTGTCGGTCATTTTGTTTTTCTGATCAGTTCAAAATCAAACATGCACAAATAGCATGAGAGGGAACCTATATCAGAAATTTGGGAAAGATTTGGGAAAGATTTATCAAGTACTTCTGAAGAAATAGTGATAATGATCTTTCTTTGGGTAATTCAAGTAAATTTTTTTTTGAATTGAGTGATACAGTCAATAGTCACTGATATCTTGAGATATCACACACACGAATATTATATGCACTCATTCCACTGAATGAACCGAAAGTAATGTACCTTTCTGATTACAAATCGAAAACTTGTAAACTCCAAACTAGTCAGGCGTGAGTTCTGATGCTTTAAAATACATAATACGGAAACAGTTGGTAATATCAGAGACATATATATGTCTTTGGTAAAATTAGACATTTTATGTCCTATATATAAGTTCATATGTTTTAGCATTCTTATATTTCTTGTAAGTCAAACCATGGACAACATTCACAGGGGGCATTGTTAGCGTTCCAGATCTGCAAAAATAATACAAAAACCAACGGTTAAAAAAATCAATCATGTTGAATTATTCTAGAATCTCCTTACGAAACAAGTTCTAGTTGTAACAAAGACTGTTACATAAGTCCCCCAATCTATCCCTGTTATCAAAGCCATTTTTATTGCAGTAGGGAATAATTCTACTCAAAAGCTACACTAGAGCAAGATTCCTGACCTAGACCACTGAGGCAGTCATGCACGACTCGGGTAAACCTGTGACTAGTAGATGACACTGGACTGAACATTGTGATGCTTCATTATGTAAAAAAAAGAAAAAAAAAAGAAGACATTTCACAAAGTCTTAATTCAAATATAAATTCAACGAAAGTATGACAAAATATGAACAAAAGAAGATTTACATAGAGACTCCTGAGAAAGTGCAAGAATAAGACAAGGTGTTTCTCATAATTTTCACTAATTTGCATCATTCTCAAATATGAGCTTTATCTGTCCAAAGGTTCACGAGACATTTTGTACAGAAGGTATGTGTGGCCAGGTGAACTATTTCACCTAATTTAATACTGCATTTTATTTTCAGTTAATTTACTGTATTTGTATAACATGAAATAATTATGTTATTTTTAATTATTTGACGTCTTTTATAGAAATGCACATGTAGGTCAGGTGGTATATTTGTACATGTACTGGTGTTAGTATACAGGTGGAAAATACTACCCACTTACCTGTAGAGAGTACCTGTGTATATATGTTTGATATATAGGTATGGTCATGTGACCTTCCTGTCTATATGTATTGTCCAGTGTTACATGTACTGTCCATGTCTTTTCTGCATGATATTTGTGAGTAATGTTCATAACTAACCCGACCTTTGACATGAACTTTTAAATTGACCTTTTATTTTATTGGCTATACTTTTGGAGGGAAAGTTCTTTGTCCAAATTGTTTTGGGCAGAAGGAAAAGAGCTTTGGCTAGAGATAGGTGTGTTTCTCACCTCTCGGTACATAGGATTTATCCAGAATTTTGTAAGAGCCAGCTTCATAAATGGTGAGTCTCTGTCTGTTGTTTTATCAATGTAACATGTTCTAAAGTATGGAGTTATTTGATTCAATTTATTAATGAATGTATGAACTTATGATCTGTACTTGAATTCAATTTGTAGTTAAATTTATGACTTTTAAATGTTGATGTAATTTGGTTTAGAGATGAGAATATTGTAACTCTAATTTAAATATTGGATAGGAATATGTATATTTATCTAATAGTAAACCCAAATAATGTGTTTTTATATTATTTCTGGCGTTAGTTGCTGATAGATGTTTTATTTGATTTTTCAGTAATAATGTGATGTATACAGCAACTAAACCCTTTTTGTACTGATCCTCGTAGATTGGGTTAAGGCGTATGATCCTCAACCCGTAGTCCAGGTAAGCACAATAGCTTATTTAGTTTAATTTACATTTTGGCAATTGTACTTTAATTTACATGTGAAATGTGATTATGTACTATGAATAGCCGGCCAGTGAATTGTATTGTTCCATAGTATTCGTGTTGTAAATTGTATATTTGATCAATGTAAGGTAGATATGGATCATATCCACTATCTTGATAATTGCTATATATCACTATCTTGATAATTGCTATATATCTGTATGTGTGTTTTTTTATAGTTGAGCAAGTGGAATATCTCCCCTTGTGGTATCAGCTATATAGGGGTAATATTTGTCTTTGTTTTATTATACACATGTATGTTATTTACCACTGACAAGTAAATCTATGTATAAGATAGTGCTATTGATAGTGATGTAGGTTTGTATTGTTATCATTATGTTAAGACATGTATTTTTAATTGTGTATTGCAGGTTCAATCTTTATATGACTTATACCGCTACTACTTGTATTATATGGATTGCCGTTGGTCAATCTCAATAAATGTCCTAGTCATCATTTTCTTAAACCCATGTGCAACCCGGTTACAAATGCATGCAAGCATATTTATACACAAATTGTACCCGTTATCTCCCTTAACAAAATGGAGACAAATTACTTACCAGTGTTATCATAGATAAAGTCCAAATAATACATTATATTTTCATAGACGTCTGTAAATTCTGAGTTCAGACAGGAACGAGCACCAAAACTTGTGATTCCCACCAATTCCAATCTACCCTGTTGGTTCTTGCACAATAGAGGGCCACCAGAATCACCCTGAAGTACAAAAAGCAATGGTAATTTATACAAATACCAGTGGTCTTCACGATTGTTTGCCGATCCTAGATTTCCTAACACCATTCATATTTTTTTGTTTATTTATGTATTAATTGTATCTAAAAGAATACATTTCAGTAACTGATAAACTCAAAAGATTAATAAAAGGTTGATGAAAACAACATAGCCAATAAAGAGCTTTAACGTATACCACGAGTTGTTAATGTTTGAATAGCTGTTATACATCATAAAAATCATGATATAAAATAAAGGGAAATAATTTGAACTACCAGGAAATCCATACATTGTGACCATTTAATGGCTACATGTTTTTTTTTATTCCTTAATATATATTATTTAGCAAAGGTATTATATTAACCTGCTATATCTATAGTTTTGTGTAAGATGAAAAATACGGGAAATATGAACATCGTCATGTTGTTATGACATCATCTGATTGCAGATTTTACAAAATGGCGTCACAAAATCATCCGATGCAAAATGAAAGACACAAGAACCAAGCACGTCCAGAGACTAGCAGGTGCGCCGAGAACATTGTGGCTGTTCAGAAAATCATATAAGAATTTTCAGAGAGGTCAGTTAGAAAAGTGCTAGATGACATTGAAAATATGGGATCTGCTAATTCAAGTTCTGGCTTTGGAAAAGTTTTAGATGTTACGGTTTGACTTAAAGTTGTTTCCATACAAAGTCCCAGTGATGCAAAATTTGAGGGATACAGATGTTACAATGAGACTACAATTTGCTCATCGGATGACTAACAACATTGGTATCACCGATGGCGTATGGTTTTCAGATGAATCCCACTTTTATTCAAATTCACAACTTAACAAGCAGAACTACCATGTAAGGGGAAAGGAAAAACCAGACTATTGGAAAGAGAAGCTGCATGATGACAAAGTGACAGGCTGGTTTAGGCTCAGTCCGGTTGGTGTAATTAGACTATTTTTCTTTGAATCAGAAGGGGAAACAGGATCAGTAAACAATGGACGGTATTTCAACATGTTCAAAAGTAAATTCTTTCCTGTACTCAGAAGTGAGGTATTAATGTTGATGGTGTTTGGTTTCAACACCACACACATCAGTAGTAATGTTAACTTGGCTTCAGGAAACATTTGGAGAAAAGTTTCTTTCCTACTTGGCAAATTATGTATGGCCTCCCCACTCCCTTGATCTGAACACATTGTTCTTCAAATAACCCTATAGAGAAAAGTCCAGAGTGCACAGAATTATGGTTGAAATCTGCAAGGACGCAATCAACAATTTTAAGAAAAGGCTCAACATTGTCATTTCACAAAAAGGATGTACGTCTCAACGAACATATTGTGTGATTTTTGAAAACATTTTCAATAAGTTATATATTCTATTGGTATGTAATTTCTGTAAAAAACTATGTTTAAGGATGAATTCATACCAAACGTTTGAAGTTCAAGTGATGAGTAGTATGGGCAATAGAGACTAATGCGTTGAATCATGAAAAGCAGTGAAGGAGGTAGAGCTTTCAACACATTTTAGTTTTTTTCAATCAATCCCAACATCAAAAAAGCACAAAAAGGGACCAAAGATAATCTACATACAGTTAGCATAGAAAATTCAATCAATTACTCCATCTAGAAACATAATGATAACAAACTTTCATCGTCAAAATTCAAGATGACTGCCGTTTGTTTTTCTTTTTTTATCTGTCCAAAAATCAAAAGGGCACAACAAGCAAGCAAGCGGAAAACACAAATGAAATTTGAAAAAAGATCCTTCCAGTACTTCTCAAGAAATAGTGACAAAAAGATTTGTTTAAGGAGATAGACGGAAGAGGTGGATATAGACACAGGGAAATGTTGAACAGCCCAACATCTGATGATAGTGGGCTGAAAAGGTGGAACTGTATCAACAGTCTGTTACATAACCATCACCTTCGACCCTCCATTCAAACAAAGGTCTGAAGTAAGAATGAGATGAAGCCATATTTACATGTGACAAGAAATGGTTTCATTTTGATGCAGACAAGACAGTAATAACAATTAAATGTTGTGGTCTTGAACTTTGACATTTAATCATGAATTAGATCCAAATGTAATATATTAAATTAAAATCAATTTGTAAGTTTTCTTGATTCTTGCAGATAAAACAATATACACATAGTACAGTATATCATTTCATCAGATCCTGACTTACATGTACATTGCTACACTATGTATGGCATTTTCCTCAATTAAGACCTTGAACATAATGCTAAAATCCAGAGGACCTCGCTTCATGCAGATGCAAGCAGTTTATTCATTAATTGTTTTAGGTTCAGTACCACTGACCCCAAAGTTTTAAGTATGACCTTGAATTTCCAATTGTCATGCCTTATCTACTTAACATATATCATAAATGCTATGGGTCATTCTAAAAATATGTAAAGTGACTCAGTTACCATGACCACCAAATTCCATCACCCCTCCCTCAACATGAAAAAAAAGGCCCATAGGCAACTGAGTTTTTGTCAATATACAAACTTAACAAAATTGCCTTACCAAAAGCCATCTTGCAGTTTCAATACTGCAGAGTGCGTTTGAAGCCAGTACAAGTTTAAAGGACATAACAGAAGTTAGAACAAATCCAACTCTTAAGGCCCTGCACTGAAGTTTTCAAAACACTGATTCTCCTTGACAACAAAATTCCAATCTGTTTTGTAATTCCGAATGAAAATGAATCCAAATACTCAAATATTGGACTCCTATGACATTTAAAGTGGGTCAGGTAATTTACTTGAACAAATTTGGTATCCCTTCATCCCACCATGAAACGGGCCCAATATCAGACCTCTGGGCATTGTGGTTATTGGGAGAAGTCATTTGAAGATTTTGACACATTTGACCCCGTGACCTTGAAAGTCAGTCAAGGTCATTAATTTGAGCAATCATGATAACCCTTAATACGAGTATGCTACAGTCCCAATATAGCTGTGGGCCTACCGGTCGTGGAGAAGAAGTCAAAAATGTAAATGGTTGATGACGGACAAACGTTGATTGCAGTAGGCAACAAGGCGGTATTGCTCACCTGTTTAGTTTTGATGAAATTGATTAATTCAAAGAGGGATTATAAAGTATCTACCCTACTTCTATTGGGTTGCCCCCTTCTAACCGAGGGGGGGCTGAGATCCAAAATTTATACAAAAATGATTTCCCTTCACCCTTCATCAAAGCATGTTTTAGACCAAACTGGGACATCATCCAAATATTCTTGCTGAAAAAGAAAGATTTCAAAGAACATACCCCCTAGGACTTCATACCATACTAAGAAATGCTCCAGACACAAAATTTTAACAAAGGGCAATACCTACTCTTTATCAAGGAGTCGTATGCCCTAACATTGCCCTTAGTCTTTGTAAAATCAATGTACACAACAAGTTTCATTATCCTAACTTAAATATAACAAGTTTATGCTCTGGATCAGATATTCTTTAACAAAGGGCAATAACTCTGTAATTGAGGGGTAGAGCACCCTGAATTTGGCGCACAACACATTGCCTTAGTATGATCATTGTATAGTCAAGTTTTGTTTTCCTAGGTTAAATGGAAGCAAAATTATGCTCCTGACACAAAATTAAAACAAAGGACAATATTCTGTAATTGAGAGGTAGAGAGGAACCATCATTTGGTACACAGCACAGTTTTAATGCAAAAGATGTGCTCTAGACACAAAATGTTAACAAATGGTAATAACTAATAAATAATTAAACACATGCGGATATTGAATTTAGTACTGCTCATTGTCTTAGTATGATCAATATATACATTAGTTTTGTTTTCCTAGATCAAGACAAGAAAGGACAAATGGAAAGATGGACTATGTTTTCCAAAGAAAACTTTCAGGGAGCATAAAAAATATTAATAAATAGAGCTCAATACACATCTACATATGGCCCATAATATTTCTGTATAGTTTCATTGAAATTGTTTTCCAAATTTCATAGGTCTTTTATGGTTATCATGACAACCAAATGCCACTAGGTCTTTTGGAAAATAGTAACTGCCATTCTAAAAAAAAAATCTTCAATGTGATTGGACAATGTTTTAATTTTGACCAATCAGGATCCTTCATTGTCTTTCCATAGTAAAGGCTTTGGAAACTTACAATTTTATAAATCATTACATTTTACCAATTTTCATTAAATTTCATCTAAGTACTGATGAGTTATGGGCCACAATTATTTACACTTATACCTTTGTATATCGACCTTGTTACAAATTTTGGCAACCAAAAATTTCTGCTTGACTGATTTCTTGTGTTTGGAGCAGTAGTTCCAGAATGTTGCAGAAAAGATGTATGTATACAATTGGACATCAACACACATGAACCCTAACATACAGAGAGATGACAGGGATGTATTTCTTCATGAAACTTAAAGCACTACAAATACCAAGCTTTCATGACAAATTTTCTTACTTACATTACAGATGGGTGAGTGCTTCTCTCTGTTGTCAATACAAACTACATGAGGTAATATCAAATCAAAGTAAAGTCTCATATAGTCCCCACAGCGCTCAGCATCCTCTTCTAATAGAAGATCAACTTGTAACATTTCTAGTCGTTCAGCCCCTAAATAAATTAAAATTATCGGGTCAAATTTGGTATTTATAGGATATATATATCAATTCCTTATCGACTCATCACTATTGTATAGACTTAAAGACTTATCACTGCTGTACAGACTTGTCACTACTGTATAGACTTGTCACTACTGTATAGACTTATAGACTTGTTACTACTGTATAGATTTGTCACTACTGTTAAAACTTGTCACTACTGTATAGACTTATCACTACTGTACAGACTTGTCACTACTTGTTACTACTGTATAGATTTGTCACTACTGTATAGACTTATCACTACTGTACAGACTTGTCACTACTGTACAGACTTATCACTACTGTATAGACTTATCACTACTGTACAGACTTGTCACTACTGTATAGACTTATCACTACTGTACAGACTTGTCACTACTGTATAGACTTGTCACTACTGTAAAGACTTGTCTCTACTGTATAGACTTGTAACTACTGTAAAGACTTGTCTCTACTGTATAGACTTGTAACTACTGTAAAGACTTGTCACTACTGTATAGACTTGTCACTACTGTATAGACTTGTCACTACTGTACAGACTTGTCACTACTGTATAGACTTGTCACTACTGTATAGACTTATAGACTTGTCACTACTTTACAGACTTATCACTACTGTATAGACTTGTCACTCCTGTGTAGACTTGTCACTACTGTAAAGACTTGTCACTACTGTATAGACTTGTCACTACTGTACAGACTTGTCACTACTGTATAGACTTGTAACTACTGTATAGACTTGTCACAACTATATAGACTTGTCACTACTGTATAGACTTGTCACTACTGTACAGACTTGTCACTACTGTATAGACTTGTCACTACTGTAAAGACTTGTCACTCCTGTGTAGACTTGTCACTACTGTAAAGACTTGTCACTACTGTATAGACTTGTCACTACTGTACAGACTTGTCACTACTGTATAGACTTGTCACTACTGTATAGACTTATCACTAACTCCTGTATAGACTTGTCACTACTGTAAAGACTTGTCACTACTGTATAGACTTGTCACTACTGTACAGACTTGTCACTACTGTATAGACTTGTCACTACTGTATAGACTTATCACTACTGTACAGACTTATCACTACTGTATAGACCTGTCACTACTGTATAGACTTATAGACTTGTCACTACTGTACAGACTTGTCACTACTGTACAGACTTATCACTATTGTATAGACTTGTCACTACTGTATAGACTTGTCACTACTGTACAGACTTGTCACTATTGTATAGACTTGTCACTACTGTATAGACTTGTCACTACTGTACTACTGTACAGACTTGTCACTACTGTATAGACTTGTCACTACTGTATAGACTTATCACTACTGTACAGACTTATCACTACTGTATGGACCTGTCACTACTGTATAGACTTGTAACAACTGTACAGACTTGTCACTACTGTATAGACTTGTAACTACTGTATAGACTTGTCACTACTGTATAGACTTGTCACTACTGTACAGACTTGTCACTACTGTATAGACTTGTAACTACTGTATAGACTTGTCACAACTGTATAGACTTGTCACTACTGTATAGACTTGTCACTACTGTATAGACTTGTCACTACTGTACAGACTTGTCACTACTGTATAGATTTACCACTACTGTATAGACTTGTCACTACTGTACAGACTTGTCACTACTGTATAGACTTGTCACTACTGTATAGACTTATAGACTTGTCACTACTGTACAGACTTGTCACTACTGTATAGACTTGTCACTACTGTAAAGACTTGTCACTACTGTATAGACTTGTCACTACTGTACAGACTTGTCACTACTGTATAGACTTGTCACTACTGTATAGACTTATAGACTTGTTACTACTGTATAGATTTGTCACTACTGTATAGACTTATCACTACTGTACAGACTTATCACTACTGTATAGACTTGTCACTACTGTATAGACTTGTAACAACTGTACAGACTTGTCACTACTGTATAGACTTGTAACTACTGTATAGACTTGTCACAACTGTATAGACTTGTCACTACTGTATAGACTTGTCACTACTGTATAGACTTGTCACTACTGTACAGACTTGTCACTTGTCACTACTGTATAGACTTGTCACTACTGTATAGACTTGTCACTGTATAGACTACTGTATAGACTTGTACTGTAGACTTGTCACTACTGTACTTGTCAGACTTGTCACTACTGTATAGACTTGTCACTACTGTATAGACTTGTCACTACTGTATAGACTTGTCACAACTGTATAGACCTGTCACTACTGTATAGACTTGTCACTACTGTATAGACTTGTCACTACTGTACTAGACTTGTCACTACTGTACTACTGTATAGACTTGTCACTACTGTATAGACTTGTCACTACTGTATTGTCAGACTTGTCACTACTTATAGACTTGTCACTACTGTATAGACTTGTCACTACTGTATAGACTTGTCACTACTACACTACTGTACTGACTTGTACTAGACTTTGTCACTGTACTGTACTAGACTTGTCACTACTGTATAGACTTGTCACTACTGTATAGACTTGTCATACTGTATAGACTTGTCACTACTGTATAGACTTGTCACTACTGTTAGACTTGTCACTACTGTATAGACTTGTCACTACTGTATAGACTTGTCACTACTGTATAGACTTGTCACTACTGTATAGACTTGTCACTACTGTATAGACTTGTCACTACTGTATAGACTTGTAACAACTGTATAGACCTGTCACTACTGTATAGACTTGTCACTACTGTATAGACTTGTCACTACTGTACAGACTTGTCACTCCTGTGTAGACTTGTCACTACTGTAAAGACTTGTCACTACTGTATAGACTTGTCACTACTGTACAGACTTGTCACTACTGTATAGACTTGTCACTACTGTACTAGACTTGTCACTACTGTATAGTACTTGTCACTACTGTATAGACTTGTCACTACTGTATAGTACTACTGTATAGACTTATAGACTTACTGTTGTCACTACTGTATAGACTTGTCACTAGACTGTATAGACTTATCACTACTGTACAGACTTGTCACTACTGTACAGACTTATCACTGCTGTATAGACTTATCACTACTCTACAGACTTGTCACTACTATATAGACTTATCACTACTCTACAGACTTGTCACTACTGTATAGACTTGTCACTACTGTACAGACTTGTCACTACTGTATAGACTTGTCACTACTGTATAGACTTATCACTACTGTACAGACTTATCACTACTGTATAGACTTGTCACTACTGTATAGACTTGTAACAACTGTACAGACTTGTCACTACTGTATAGACTTGTCACTACTGTACAGACTTGTCACTACTGTATAGATTTACCACTACTGTATAGACTTGTCACTACTGTATAGACTTGTCACTACTGTATAGACTTGTCACTACTGTATAGACTTGTCACTACTGTACAGACTTGTCACTACTGTATAGACTTGTCACTACTGTACAGACTTGTCACTACTGTATAGACTTGTCACTACTGTATAGACTTGTCATTCCTCTGTAGACTTGTCACTACTGTACTTGTCTACTGTACTTGTCACTGTATACAGACTTGTCATAGATTTGTCACTACTGTACTTGTCACTACTGTATAGACTTGTCAGTTTTGTCACTACTGTACTGTAGACTTATAGACTTGTCACTACTGTACAGACTTGTCACTACTTGTCACTACTGTATAGACTTATAGACTTGTCACTACTGTACAGACTTGTCACTACTGTACAGACTTATCACTATTGTATAGACTTGTCACTACTGTACAGACTTGTCACTACTGTATAGACTTGTCACTACTGTATAGACTTGTCACTACTGTATAGACTTGTCACTACTGTATAGACTTGTCACTACTGTACAGACTTGTCACTACTGTATAGACTTGTCACTACTGTATAGACTTGTCACTACTGTACAGACTTGTCACTACTGTATAGACTTGTCACTACTGTATAGACTTGTCACTACTGTAAAGATTTATCACCTCTGTTATAGACTTTTGTGACTTACCAACACCATATTCTGTTATACCCCATCCTAGAACATGACAGGTGTCATAAGAGAATATATCCCTTGATGGTGGTGGTAAACACACTGTACTGAGTGTGTCAGATTCTGCAACTGGCTTTGTCAGTTTAAGAAGAGATACATCTCTTATGTCTGAATTAGGATGATTAATTACTTCAGCAATATCCATACGTAAACCTTGCTCATCTAAATTGTTGAAGTCTGTGAAAGATCCAAGGAGGTAGTATATTCCATCTTCATAGTCACTGAAAAATTGTACAGAAAACAAACAAATGAATATCACTATTTAATACAAATTAGATACAGTAGAGTCAAACAATGAATTATCTACATCATACAGCTGTTTGGTCCTTCTAGGACTTGTCAATGATGCTACATCATACAGCTGTTTGGTCCTTCTAGGACTTGTCAGTGATGCTACATCATACAGCTGTTTGGTCCTTCTAGGACTTGTCAATGATGCTAAATCATACAGCTGTTTGGTCCTTCTAGGACTCTTCAGTGATGCTACATCATACAGCTGTTTGGTCCTTCTAGGACTTGTCAGTGATGCTACATCATACAGCTGTTTCGTCCTTCTAGGACTTGTCAGTGATGCTACATCATACAGCTGTTTCGTCCTTCTAGGACTCGTCAGTGATGCTACATCATACAGCTGTTTCATCCTTCTAGGACTCTTGAGTGATGCTACATGATACAGCTGTTTGGTCCTTCTAGGACTCTTGAGTGATGCTACATCATACAGCTGTTTCATCCTTCTAGGACTCTTCAGTGATGCTACATCATACAGCTGTTTGGTCTTTCTCGGGCTTGTCATTGATGCTACATCATACAGCTGTTTGGTCTTTCTCGGGCTTGTCATTGATGCTACATCATACAGCTGTTTGGTCTTTCTCGGGCTTGTCATTGATGCTACATCATACAGCTGTTTGGTCTTTCTCGGACTTGTCAGTGATGATACATCATACAGCTGTTTGGTCCTTCTAGGACTCTTCAGTGATGCTACATCATACAGCTGTTTGGTCCTTCTAGGACTTGTCAGTGATGCTACATCATACAGCTGTTTGGTCCTTCTAGGACTCTTCAGTGATGCTACATCATACAGCTGTTTGGTCCTTCTAGGACTCTTCAGTGATGCTACATGATACAGCGGTTTGGTCCTTCTAGGACTTGTCAGTGATGCTACATCATACAGCGGTTTGGTCCTTCTAGGACTCTTCAGTGATGCTACATCATACAGCTGTTTGGTCCTTCTAGGACTTGTCAGTGATGCTACATCATACAGCTGTTTGGTCCTTCTAGGACTCTTCAGTGATGCTACATCATACAGCTTTTGGTCCTTCTAGGACTTGTCAGTGATGCTACATCATACAGCTGTTTGGTCCTTCTAGGACTCGTCAGTGATGCTACATCATACAGCTGTTTCGTCCTTCTAGGACTTGTCAGTGATGCCACATCATACAGCTGCTTGGTCCTTCTAGGACTCGTCAGTGATGCTACATCATACAGCTGTTTGGTCCTTCTAGGGGGGACTCGTCAGTGATGCTACATCATACAGCTGTTTGGTCCTTCTAGGACTCTTCAGTGATGCTACATCATACAGCTGGTTCGTACTTCTAGGACTCTTCAGTGATGCTACATCATACAGCTGTTTGGTCCTTCTAGGACTTGTCAGTGATGCTACATCATACAGCTGTTTGGTCCTTCTAGGACTCTTCAGTGATGCTACATCATACAGCTTTTGGTCCTTCTAGGACTTGTCAGTGATGCTACATCATACAGCTGTTTGGTCCTTCTAGGACTCGTCAGTGATGCTACATCATACAGCTGTTTCGTCCTTCTAGGACTTGTCAGTGATGCCACATCATACAGCTGCTTGGTCCTTCTAGGACTCGTCAGTGATGCTACATCATACAGCTGTTTGGTCCTTCTAGGACTCGTCAGTGATGCTACATCATACAGCTGTTTGGTCCTTCTAGGACTCTTCAGTGATGCTACATCATACAGCTGGTTCGTACTTCTAGGACTCTTCAGTGATGCTACATGATACGTTACCTCAGAATCTTAATACAAGTCATGTCTGCGACCTTGTAAGTATGTCAGTATAATTCATTTGATCAAAAACAGCAGCCCAGCATACCAAAGGTTTTATACTTGCTCCACTCAGTGGGTGGCAGTATTCATATAATTAAGACCAATAAGAATACCTACTCCACCCAGTGAGTGGCTGTGATCATGTAATTAGGGGCTGATGATAATACCTACTCCACCCAGTGAGTGGCTGTGATCATGTAATTAGGGGCTGATGATAATACCTACTCCACCCAGTGAGTGGCTGTGATCATGTAATTAGGGGCTGATGATAATACCTACATCACCCAGTGAGTGGCTGTGATCATGTAATTAGGGGCTGATGATAATACCTACATCATCCAGTGAGTGGCTGTGATCATGATAATACCTACTCCACCCAGTGAGTGGCTGTGATCATTTAATAAGGGACTGATGATAATACCTACATCACCCAGTGAGTGGCTGTGATCATGTAATTAGGGGCTGATGATAATACCTACTCCACCCAGTGAGTGGCTGTGATCATGTAATTAGGGGCTGATGATAATACCTACTCCACCCAGTGAGTGGCTGTGATCATGTAATTAGGGGCTGATGATAATATCTACATCACCCAGTGAGTGGCTGTGATCATGTAATTAGGGGCTGATGATAATACCTACTCCACCCAGTGAGTGGCTGTGATCATGTAATTAGGGACTGATGATAATACCTACATCACCCAGTGAGTGGCTGTGATCATGTAATTAGGGACTAATGATAATACCTACATCACCCTGTGAGTGGCTGTGATCATGTAATTAGGAACTGATGATAATACCTACTCCACCCAGTGAGTGGCTGTGATCATGTAATTAGGGACTGATGATAATACTTACTCCACACAGTGAGCGGCTGTTATCACATAATTAGGACTGATGAGTGAGGCTCCACAGTATTGTCCTTGAAAGGTAGTAGAATTTTTCATCAGGGCGATCATTGACGGGAACAATCGAAGAGGAGTGTCATAACCGCCGATAACTCTGTCCACAGGGGATAGAACAGATCTACCACACTCTAGAGAATAAATAACATCAAAACAGGAAATTAGTTCATACATTAAGGATCTAACACTTCTTTTCATTCATACAACCCTGACCTGGTGAGGTTAGATGAAAATTATTTGATGAGTTTCATCAATCACATAAGAAATGGATTATGCAAATAATCGTGAAAGCAGGATTTCATCTGATACAAAATCTAAATCAACAATATTCGAAGTCTTTGGTGATGTCATTGTGCCGACAAAGCCATGAAGGTATGACATCATGGAATAATTGGAAATTTCAGCATATCACTGCTTGGATTCATAATAGTTACATATGTGAAAAATAGCTCTACAAACGTGGGCAATACCCCACAGCCTTAGTATAAAGTTGGGTGCAGGGCTGAGATTGTGAAGAACCTCAATAGACTGTGTAGGTCCATAGGCCCAACATGCCCAGCAAAAATGGTGATCGCTAGTGATGTTGTTCTTGAGATAATGAGCGGAATGATAATTCAAGGTGGCGGCCGTAACCGCCATATTGGATATCGGGCGGTGACAAAAAACAATAGGGTTATGTAGATCCATAGGCCGAACATCGTCAGTGAAAATGGTGACCACCGGTGTTGTCATTCTTGAGATAATGAGCGGAATGCAAATTCAAGATGGCGCCCGTAACCGCCATATTGGATATCGCGTGGTGACGAAAAACAATAGGGTTGTGTAGGTCCATAGGCCCAACGTCCCCAGTGAAAATGGTGATGACCTGTGATGTAGTTTTTGAGATAATAAGCGGTATGCAATTGTGGATGGACGGGCAGACAGACGGACGGACGCCGTGCGTGATCGCAATACCCAACACCCTTTCGGGCTGTGGGGTAAAAAACAGAAAATTATCACAAAATCAGTCTGTTATGCAGTGAATTGGCCGAAGTTAATTTTTTGTGTATTTCACCTAGTGTTATAATTTCTTGACTGTTTTTCACTGGCTGAGCCAGTCAGAAATCAATTGTAATGTCATGATATTGCCAATGACTTTTCGTCGTGTGAAAATGGTGAAACATAAAGAGAATTTATCATAAGAGAATTTAGTAAACTCATTCCACTCAAGTTTTAATTTTTTGCTCCTCAAAGCTCACAAAAATCAAACTTTTAATTTAAGACTTGTTCCATAAAACCTCATGTGAAATGAAAACTCATATAATATTCTTTATTCACATCCATATAATAAAAGATGAGAACTTTCTTGTTTGAAAGATGATATAGTTATGTCTACACTGATGGTAGTTCAATGTCGAAGATTCAAACAATATTCTAGACAACTTAAGATTAAGTCTGATACTGTTTTATAAACAAAAATTCTAATGGGTTTGATGCGCTTACTTGTTCTGCAGTTTACAAAGAAAAAAGTCAAAAGTCAAAGTCAAAAGAAAACCCGAGCAGTCCCCATGTATGATGTTTACAAATATCATAACTTAGGGTTACCCAAAAGGAGAAGGTTTAAGTTTGTAGCACAATCGACCCAAGTGACCTTGAATGTGAGTGATAGTCATTCATTTGTCCTTCATCCCTGACAGCAACAGGCTCAATATCAGTATCTTTTGTGTGTTTCAGTTATTGAGAAGTCATTTAAAGGGAAAACAGGCAAGGTATTTTGATGTTGAGAATATTTTGAAACTTTGAAAAGTCGTTAGAAAAGGTTCTAAAAAGGTACAAAACAGTTATAAATGTACAGCTCGCATAGAATATCCCTTAAAATAAACAGATCTGCACTCTCTACTTCAGTACATGAACTGTATACTAGTGTACTTTGTAAGTGCTATACATCATCATCAACAGGAGACATTCTTGTCACTGATTATAAAGCTAAGAGTATTGTGTAAACATGAAAGTTTCCATTAATGAAATCCGAAATAAATAAAAAGAACATGCATATTGACTACATCTAATATAGATTGAAATTGACAAATGGAAGCAACAGCTGCTTGATGAACATTATCTACTCTGCAATAATCCTATGGAGCCAATAATTACAATAATTACCTCTGAGTCGGGGATGGGCTTATTATAGGACAACCTATTTGTAATTCTATGGATATGGGTGAACTTATTAACTGGTACAATACAATAATATTCCATACCTTGTGGTCTACACTCAAGCTTTAATGCAGCGCAGGCTCTGTAACAATAATCAGACATTGGAATAGGCAAAACGGATAACATTTATGTTGCATAGTATCCCAGCTTCTCTATATCATCAAGATTCAGCAATTGTTTGTTATTTTTGTAAGAGATTATTTTCATGCGAGTCCAGAACACCATTTCACAAAATTCTGATAAGTCCCCATACCATGAGATATAGTGGGGTCTAAAAATGTGGAACGAATTTGGTTGTGCACAGCTTACCTAGTTGTAAGTTGTATAGTGTGGTTGTAAACAGCTTACCTGGTTGTAGGTTGTATAGTGTGGTTGTAAACAGCTTACCTGGTTGTAGGTTGTATAGTGTGGTTGTAAACAGCTTACCTGGTTGTAGGTTGTATAGTGTGGTTGTGAACAGCTTACCTGATTGTAGGTTGTATAGTGTGGTTGTAAACAGCTTACCTGGTTGTAGGTTGTATAGTGTGGTTGTAAACAGCTTACCTGGTTGTAGGTTGTATAGTGTGGTTGTAAACAGCTTACCTGATTGTAAGTTGTATACTGTATGGACAGCTTACCTGTTTGTGGGTTGTAAACTGTGACTGCGGATGACACCCTCAGAATTTGTTACGTAGCTGATGGTCATTGTGTCATTACTTGTAATGGTAGACACAGGAAATGAAAGAAATGACCTGGCAACAGAAAATCAAATTGTTGTGATCTGTAACACGACCTGTACTCTCACCCTTTACACTGTTCCCTCCTTCACAAGTCTTTGCCCAGAAGACAACTATAATTTAGGATCAATATCTGTATGTGATATGTAATGTATCATATAGAACTCACCCTGATGTGGCCAGGGCACACAGGTACCCAGCTAAGTTTCTATCCGGGTCTGGTAAACAAATGCTGAACCATTCTCCATGATAGTTTACTTGTACTGTGAAATCGTCATTGATTTTCACTGTAACAAAGAATGAGTCAATTAAGTTTGTATTAATGATATTGTAAATGAGGGCTATTAAAGTAAATCTTGACACCAAGACTCCAAAAGGTCAAAATGCCTTTCAAATTCCAAAGTAACTACTAAAAACAAAACCTGGAGTTCTGGGGTGGGATAGATGTTTTACTGGAATAGTCCTAAACAAAACCTGGAGTCCTGAGGTGGGATAGATGTTTTACTGGAATAGTCCTAAACAAAACCGGTAGTCCTGGAGTGGGATAGATGTTTTACTGGAATAGCCCTAAACAAAACCAGTAGTGGAATAGTCCTAAACAAAACCTGGAGTCCTGAGGTGGGATAGATGTTTTACTGGAATAGTCCTAAACAAAACCTGGAGTCCTGAGGTGGGATAGATGTTTTACTGGAATAGTCCTAAACAAAACCTGGAGTCCTCAGGTGGGATAGATGTTTTACTGGAATAGCCCTAAACAAAACCTGGAGTCTTTGTGTGGGATAGATGTTTTACTGGAATAGTCCTAAACAAAACCTGGAGTTCTGGGGTGGGATAGATGTTTTACTGGAATAGTCCTAAACAAAACCTTGAGTCTTTGTGTGGGATAGATGTTTTACTGGAATAGCCCTAAACAAAACTTGGGACCTTGAGGTGGAATAGATGATTTAATGGAATATCTATAAACAAAGGGAGTGTGTTACTATGGTACCACCTGGCCACCCTAAGTCTGGTACAAACTGCATACCTGGAATAAATAATCTTTTTATTTTATCTTGAAATTCTGTTTCAAGCATGCATATTATGTAGTGAAAGACAATCTCTATTCAATCTTGACTACAATTATAAATCTCTATAGGGCTCAATTTTTGTGGTTTTTTAAAACGACAAAAATACTGTGGATGAATAAAGCTCAATAAATCTATACAAGAGAGTCATCTTACAATCCATGAATGGGTATACAGCGACACTGGCTATCACATAGAGAAATAGTTTATACCAGGTACTCTCCAGCGACACAGGTGGTCGCATAGAGAAATAGTATATACCAGGTACTCTCCAGCGACACAGATGGTCACATAGAGAAATAGTATATACCAGGTTCTCTCCAGCGACACTGGCTGTCAAATAGAGAAATAGCATATACCAGGTACTCTCCAGCGACACTGGCTGTCAAATAGAGAAATAGTATATACCAGGTACTCTCCAGCAACACTGGTGGTCACGTAGAGAAATAGTATATACCAGGTACTCCCTAGCAACACTGGCTGTCACATAGAGAAATAGTATATACCAGGTACTCTCCAGCAGCAACACAGGATGTCACATAGAGAAATAGTATATACCAGGTACTCTCCAGCAACACTGACAGTCAAATAGAGAAATAGTATATACCAGGTACTCTCCAGCGACACTGACAGTCAAATAGAGAAATAGTATATACAAGGTACTCTCCAGCGACACTGACAGTCAAATAGAGAAATAGTATATACCAGGTACTCTCCAGCGACACTGGCTGTCACATAGAGAAATAGTATATACCAGGTACTCTACAGCGACACTGACAGTCAAATAGAGAAATAGTATATACCAGGTACTCTCCAGCGACACTGACAGTCACATAGAGAAATAGTATATACCAGGTACTCTCCAGTGACACTGGCTGTCACATAGAGAAATAGTATATACCAGGTACTCTCCAGCGACACTGGCTGTCACATAGAGAAATAGTATATACCAGGTACACTCCAGCAGCAACACTGGCTGTCACATAGAGAAATAGTATATACCAGGTACTCTCCAGCAACACTGACTGTCAAATAGAGAAATAGTATATACCAGGAACTCTCCAGTGACATTGGCTGTCATATAGAGAAATAGTATATACAAGGTACTCTCCAGCGACATTGGCTGTCATATAGAGAAATAGTATATACCAGGTACTCTCCAGCGACACTGACAGTCAAATAGAGAAATAGTATATACCAGGTACTCTCCAGCAACACTGGCTGTCAAATAGAGAAATAGTATATACAAGGTACTCTCCAGCAACACTGGCTGTCACATAGAGAAATAGTATATACCAGGTACTCTCCAGCAACACTGGCTGTCACATCGAGAAATAGTATATACAAGGTACTCTCCAGTGACACTGACTGTCACACAGAGAAATAGTATATACCAGGTACTCTCCAGCAACACTGGCTGTCACATAGAGAAATAGTATATACAAGGTACTCTCCAGCAACACTGGCTGTCACACAGAGAAATGGTATATACCAGGTACACTCCAGCAGCAACAGTGGCTGTCACGTAGAGAAATAGTACACACCAGGTACTCACCAGTAACACTGACAGTCAAATAGAGAAATAGTATATACCAGGTACTCTCCAGCGACACTGACAGTCAAATAGAGAAATAGTATAGACTTGTTACTCTCCAGCAACACTGGCTGTCACAAAGAGAAATGGTATATACCAGGTACACTCCAGCAGCAACAGTGGCTGTCACGTAGAGAAATAGTACACACCAGGTACTCACCAGTAACACTGACAGTCAAATAGAGAAATAGTATATACCAGGTACACTCCAGCAGCAACAGTGGCTGTCACGTAGAGAAATAGTACACACCAGGTACTCTCCAGCGACACTGACAGTCAAATAGAGAAATAGTATAGACTTGTTACTCTCCAGCAACACTGGCTGTCACATAGAGAAATAGTATATACCAGGTACTCTCCAGCGACACTGACAGTCAAATAGAGAAATAGTATAGACTTGTTACTCTCCAGCGACACAGGTGGTCACATAGAGAAATAGTATATACCAGGTTCTCTCCAGCGACACTGGCTGTCAAATAGAGAAATAGCATATACCAGGTACACTCCAGCAGCAACACTGGCTGTCACATAGAGAAATAGTATATACCAGGTACTCTCCAGCAACACTGACTGTCAAATAGAGAAATAGTATATACCAGGAACTCTCCAGTGACATTGGCTGTCATATAGAGAAATAGTATATACAAGGTACTCTCCAGCGACATTGGCTGTCATATAGAGAAATAGTATATACCAGGTACTCTCCAGCGACACTGACAGTCAAATAGAGAAATAGTATATACCAGGTACTCTCCAGCAACACTGGCTGTCAAATAGAGAAATAGTATATACAAGGTACTCTCCAGCAACACTGGCTGTCACATAGAGAAATAGTATATACCAGGTACTCTCCAGCAACACTGGCTGTCACATCGAGAAATAGTATATACAAGGTACTCTCCAGTGACACTGACTGTCACACAGAGAAATAGTATATACCAGGTACTCTCCAGCAACACTGGCTGTCACATAGAGAAATAGTATATACAAGGTACTCTCCAGCAACACTGGCTGTCACACAGAGAAATGGTATATACCAGGTACACTCCAGCAGCAACAGTGGCTGTCACGTAGAGAAATAGTACACACCAGGTACTCACCAGTAACACTGACAGTCAAATAGAGAAATAGTATATACCAGGTACTCTCCAGCGACACTGACAGTCAAATAGAGAAATAGTATAGACTTGTTACTCTCCAGCAACACTGGCTGTCACAAAGAGAAATGGTATATACCAGGTACACTCCAGCAGCAACAGTGGCTGTCACGTAGAGAAATAGTACACACCAGGTACTCACCAGTAACACTGACAGTCAAATAGAGAAATAGTATATACCAGGTACACTCCAGCAGCAACAGTGGCTGTCACGTAGAGAAATAGTACACACCAGGTACTCTCCAGCGACACTGACAGTCAAATAGAGAAATAGTATAGACTTGTTACTCTCCAGCAACACTGGCTGTCACATAGAGAAATAGTATATACCAGGTACTCTCCAGCGACACTGACAGTCAAATAGAGAAATAGTATAGACTTGTTACTCTCCAGCGACACAGGTGGTCACATAGAGAAATAGTATATACCAGGTTCTCTCCAGCGACACTGGCTGTCAAATAGAGAAATAGCATATACCAGGTACTCTCCAGCGACACTGGCTGTCAAATAGAGAAATAGTATATACCAGGTACTCTCCAGCAACACTGACAGTCACATAGAGAAATAGCATATACCAGGTACTCTCCAGTGACACTGACTGTCATAGAGGAGAAATAGTATATACCAGGAACTCTCCAGCAACAGTGGCTGTCATGTAGAGAAATAGTATATACCAGGTACTCTCCAGCGACATTGGCTGTCATATAGAGAAATAGTATATACCAGGTACTCTCCAGCAACAGTGGCTGTCATGTAGAGAAATAGTATATACCAGGTACTCTCCAGCGACACTGACTGTCATAGAGGAGAAATAGTATATACCAGGTACTCTCCAGCAACACTGACTGTCAAATAGAGAAATAGTATATACCAGGTACTCTCCAGCAACACTGGCTGTCACACAGAGAAACAGTATATACCAGGTACTCTCCAGCGACACTGACAGTCAAATAGAGAAATAGTATATACCAGGTACTCTCCAGCAACACTGGCTGTCACTTAGAGAAATAGTATATACCAGGTACTCTCCAGCAACACTGGCTGTCACATAGAGAAATAGTATATACCAGGTACTCTCCAGCGACACTGGCTGTCACACAGAGAAACGGTATATACCAGGTACACTCCAGCAGCAACAGTGGCTGTCACGTAGAGAAATAGTACACACCAGGTACTCACCAGTAACACTGGCTGTCACGTAGAGAAATAGTATATACCTGGTAATCTCCTGCAACACTGGCCATCACACAGAACAAGATGGCCATGGCCCTTAACGGTTAACTAACAATCGACAAATGGATGGACAAACCACAGAAATTACTGATGGTTGTCTGACAAATCTGATGAATTCAAATTTCAAATATTTCTAGAAAGTATAAGAAACTCATATGTGGTAGATTCTGTTCATGAAAAAAGTTGCACTATCATGTTACAAAATGGCTACTGTGATTACCATGTTGATGTTTTGATCA